GCCTGTAGAATGGAATGCCTTCTCCTTCGATTGCAGTGAAAATCAGTAATTATTAATAAGTAATTTATAGTTTCCTTGGGGCTGAAAAGACAGTAGTGGTTCAAATATTTTTTAAACAATGAAGGGTTTTTTCATACTTCAGTACCACACAAGACAGATTTTTGCCTAACTTCACAAATTTGAAATTAATGATATAATTGAAAATTAGAGGCAGATTGTTATAGTAATAAATATTTTACTGTTTTTCTATTGGTAGTCTATTGCTAAAGCTGAAATTCGGGAATATATTATATACAATTCTATTTATTCACTTTTGTCAATTGATCTTAATATCTTTCCTATCAGCCGACACACAAAAATACTACTTAGCACGAAATGCTGGGATAAGTTCTGCTGGTGAAATTCTAAGTAGCTTCTTTTTATTTCTTTAAGATTTTTATATTCTGCTATAATGTTTATCCAAAGCAAGCTTACACTAAAAATTAAAACAAAGCAATAATAAAATATGCAATAAACCTAATAAAAGTAATTAATAACATGAGAACAATGGCCACATTAAAATAATAATTAAAAGAGCAAAGTAACAGAAAGTCTGATTAGAAAGATTGTTGTCAGGCAATTCTTTTATACTTAACAGAGTGTTTCATATTTTACTTTTAAATTTAACCTTGTTAGACCAGCAAATTAATTTTCTCTAAGCTACATTTTAAAGATAGCGCTCCAAAAATATTTTATGGGCAAATTCATCAGTGGCAACATTTGAATAGTTTATGTACATTTTCATAAAACCTCATAAGTGAACCAAGAAATATGGATAAAATAGCTGCTTCTTGGTATTTTTGTACTAGGAAATTCTTTAGGCAGCTATCCAATAAAATTTAACACATAATAGCAATTTAATATTTACGTGGCGGGGGGGGGGGGGAACGATGACTATCAGCACTCCAGTCACCTAAATATTAAACTAAATAAGTGAGCCAATGCAATTCAATAAAGCATAAGGTGTTTCACATTTCAAGTAATTCTTTGAAAAATGAATCATTAACCATTTTCTCTTAGTATGTAATACTTTCACAAGGCAACAATTACGCAGATGCACACACGCTCCAAGGACAAGAACAGTGTGTTTCTAGAAAATAATCATTTATTTCAATTGCTTCTGCTACAACGTGCTAACTACATGTTTTGTCAACACCTGTTCATTGCAAAATAAATTTGTGCCCTCATTTTATGTTTTGTGTGTTTTGACTTCTAATTAAATATCTGCTCTAAGGTTGCAATCTTGTGCATACAAATTAAGTTCAAATAGGGTTCTGTGTGTGTTTTAGCAAAGATGGGTTTCTGTGAAATCAGAACTCAAGAGAGGTTAGCTAAGGTTACCCCACTGCAATCCTAATTATTAGTTTAAACATGATCAAGCTTACTCTCATATGTGTGGAATGAATATTCAGGCAAAGCAAACAAATTATGATAATAAAGGTATTATAAACCCTCATTGTGAAAACTTGTTTAAAGCGTTTCCCAAACCCCCACATTCATCATTTCCTTCCATGCCCTTAGCACTGGCCAAGGCTTGTACGGGGAATGTGTGCTCTGCCATGCCACTTTCCTGGGATGTGAGAAACAACCACTTCCTCCTTCTTAAGTGCAGGGCTGCATTTTGACTTCTGCCACCGCAGGTTTGCTTAACGAATTTAAGATCAGAGCATCAGCTACATCAAGGATACCCATTCTTGGCTTTCCCGTTGCAGGGTGGATGTAGGAAACTAAAGAGGAAGTCATTAAAATATAATCTGGTACTAAAATCATTTTGATATCTCTATAGTCTTTTACGGTTCCGATGATATTTTATAGGGTATTCATTTATGAAAAGCTTTACTTCTGAAAAATTCATATATAGCCTGAAGAATGTTATTGGAACAAACACTGTTCCTTCTAGTCAGAAATGAACTATGGCAATTAATTTTTCAAAGCTGATGTTTTTGCCAGGGCATGAAGTGGCAGGAAGTATATTCAAGGGACTGGGCTGCTGTTTTAGGTATAAATGGCATTTAATGCATGCTACTCCTCCTTAGCATGTTTGCACTTGCACCACAGTAACTGTGTGCTTAGGATTGTAGCAACAGTCTTTTATCACATAGCCTATAGCTACCATAAGCACTCATGTAAATCTCATCAGCTCTAATCAACATCTTTGAATGCATTTTGTTTCTTTGCATGTTTTCTAAATATATCTAAATTCAGAGGGGGGAGGGAGGTCATCTCTTAATTGCTGGAGTGGTACTTTTTGTCCTTAGATTAATTATTAAAAACATCATATTGACTTGAAATAGGCTACTTAGGCTTACCCGCTTACCCACTTCTGAGTCAAAGTGCATAGAATTGTGCCATTAGAAAATTAAGATAATTTTAAGAATTATAAAAATTATGCTATTGCTAGTTTCCCCCATTGACCCAATGCACACCCACTCTACTTGAGAACAAAAACTCTGTCGATACCGCCTGCTCTTTTAAAGATAAGCATCCACATAGTGAATGGCTTCTCCAGAATGAGCAGAAGCTAAGATTTTGCATGCTTTTTTGCTTGTTCATTTCTGGGCTTTTTCATTTTGTTATCTTTGCATGCTGCTAGATGCAGATTGAGGGTGATACCAGCTTCTGTTGATGGTACAGTGGCATCTCGGGTTACAGACGCTTCAGGTTACAGACTCCGCTAACCCAGAAATAGTACCTCGGGTTAAGAACTTTGCTTCAGGATGAGAACAGAAATCGCACGGTGTCGGTGCATCAGCAGCGGGAGGCCCCATTAGCTAAAGTGGTGCTTCAGGTTAAGAACGGACCTCCAGAACAAATGAAGTACTTAACCCGAGGTACCACTGTACTTACAAGTACAGTGGTACCTTGGGTTACATATGCTTCAGAGTACAGACGCTTCAGGTTACAGACTCCGCTAAGCCAGAAATAGTACCTCGGGTTAAGAACTTTGCTTCAGGATGAGAACAGAAATCGTGGTCCAGCGGCACGGCAGCAGCAGGAGGCCCCATTAGCTAAAGTGGTGCTTCAGGTTAAGAACAGTTACAGGTTAAGAACGGACCTCCAGAAAGAATTAAGTTCTTAACCCGAGGTACCACTGTACATGATTCAGAAAGCATGTTTCTCTCAAAGAGGTTGTTGTCAATGGGCAAAAAAAAGCCTCTCCCGCGGCTGGAGAGGCGCGCAAGGCTAAAGAGGAAGCCCGGGCAGCGAGGGGATGGATCGTGCTCGCTGCCCGGGCTTCCCCTTTAGCCTTGCGCAGCTGGAGAGATTGCTCAAGGCTTTTCTAGAGGAGGGAGAAGGGACTGACTGACCGCGTCAGTCCCTTCTCCCTCCTGGGAAAAAGCCCACAAGAGCCGCACGAAGCTTGTGTGTGGCTCTTGGGGGCTTTTCCTGCCTGCCGCCCCCCTGCATTCGCTCCATAGGACGCACAGACTTTTCCCCGTAGTTTTTAAGACGGAAAGACTGCGTCCTATGGTGCAAAAAATACAGTATTTCTTCTTTTTAATCAGGGTTGGAAAAATGCTTTTAGCTTGTTTTTTGCATGTGGATGCAGTTGTAAATCATGAATGGGGTACGGGGAGGGAAGAAAAATGTTAATTGTGTGCTTCAGCACTGAAGTGATTCACAAGTCTATCTAAAGGAAGACATCATAAAACCATTAAGTCCAGAGTCTAAATTTACACAGCTGTATGGAACTCAATGCATCTTCAGCATTCTTGTTCTTTTTCCGGCACAACTTGGTCTGCTGCTGTTCAATGTAACTGCTGCTTTATATTGTGGCTCCCCTTGTTTGGTGCTTCTTATGTCCTCCTCTCTTGTTCATATTTTTTTTGTTGAGAATGCGATATAACTTAGATATATATCTTTGAATGGGATATAACACAGAAAGGTAACAGAAACAAACTTAAAAAACAACAACCCACCTATAGGAATAGACAAAGTTAGACCATGTTTCCTCCTATGTTCCCAGTGGAAATGATGATAATATGTGTTACACTACAGGAAGGAAAGGGCTGATACTTAGCACAATCATTTAAGGACTCTCCAGGTGTGTCCCACTTTGATGGATGGCTTCTAAAGAGATGTGTACAAGTGTATGGTGCTGGTGTTAATCTGGTGCCAGAATGAACTTTTGAATGTTGACAAAAATTCACAAATATTTCTGGTTGCGAAGCAGAACAAAATCCATTCCACACCTTGGGATTCTACAAATGATGTTCTTATTTGTTTCCTTCCTGCTTCTGGATTCCCTGTTTTTCAAGGTAGTCAGTATGAATTGTATGATAATCTATATTCTAATCCTGCCATATAAGAATCACACACCAGAATCCACTAAACAAGTGGATTCTGAGCTTTGACTTAATTAAGAAGTCAGATGTGTTCAGTGATCCCCATGCAAAATACAGTCATACCTCGGGTTAAATATGCTTCGAGTTGAGCGCATTCGAGTTGCGCTCCTCGGCAACCCGGAAGTAACGGAGCGCGTTACTTCCGGGTTTCGCCGCTTGCGCATGCGCAGACGCTCAAAATGATGTCACGCGCATGCACAGAAGCGGCGAAAAGCGGCACGCGCGTGCTCAGACATGCCGTCGCTAGTTACGTTTACCTCTAGATGCGAACGGGGCTCCGGAACAGATCCCGTTCATATCTAGAGGTACCACTGTAGTTGTTTTAAGTGATTTCAAAACAGCAAAAAGAATGTAATGTCAAGGGGTTTCTCACCAATTGGAGAGGTTTAATGTATCGTTATTTTCATTTGTTTTATTTTGTTGATTATATTAATATTAATGCTGTATGCAATCCATCAAGCCCCACAAGAAATGCCAGTGGAGCCTTTTATTGAAAAACACAACCCCTAAACTTTGCTACTGTGGAGCATCCTGTGTTAAATGCTTTGTTGTCCTTTAAAAATGATATTGAACAGGAAATTTATTTTATGGATTTTTTATTCATCTCTTTTTCAGGCTCAGAAGTCATGGATAGAAAGAGCATTTTACAAAAGGGAATGTGTTCACATCATACCCAGCAACAAAGACCCCCATAGGTATGGCATGGCTTTTGTCAATGAACTTGCTTTTCATGACAGCTTATACTTAACCTATTATATCTCATTGGATCTTGGCTTTTGATACCTGTCAGAGAAGAAACAGCTCTATTCTAGTAATTGCCAGGCAACAAATGTTGTTAAACTAAGATGGACACAATATCAATTTGAACATAATGTAGCTCTTTAACCAGACCTTTGGCTAATTAACATTCTATATCCTTTTAGATGTCTTTGTGGGAGTATTGGTTTGCTTTTGTTTTTATTATGTATTTTGTGTTCTAATTTTGAATTTTTATGTTGTGAACTTCCCTGTAATCTTTGGATGAAGGGCGGTATACAAATTTAATAATAATAATAATTTTCCTTTACCCAGGAAAATACTTCAAGTTAGAGATATAGCTGTTCTTGCATGAAAAACATGAATGCTAACAGAAAATACATATACAGTGGTACCTTGGTTTGCAACCATAATCCGTTCTGCAGCTCCGGTTGTAAACCAAAACAGGTTGTAACCCAAGGCGCTCTTTCGCCAATGGGGCCTCCAAAAAAATGGTTTGTAATCCAAAAAAAGAGACACGCACTTCTGGGTTTGGCGTGGTTGTAGTCCAAAACAGTTGTAATCCAAAGCGGTTGCAAACCAAGGTACCACTGTATCCTGCATTATAAGTAAAATATCTTTTTAACGTAATACAGCCTTTGAGAAGAAGTTGGGACAATATTTATTACCATTTTCCATTTCTTAAAAGTGTAATTTTCTTGAAGTATCATGGGAATTTAAATGTTTTCAAGTTCTGTTAGCCCATAGTGGCAAAAATATTTATTGTATCAATTATTTCAGTTTGTGTAAGCTCATGTTTAACCTACTTGAAATCCCTGCAATATAACCTTTCCACGGTGTCACCAAGAATATGTGAAAAGGCTCTCTTGCAGTGATTTCATGTAAGTTAAAGATATGCTGTTGTACAAAGACTGGTGCTGAGGGCCATTGTTACAGCCTAAAATGGCTTTGGGGTATGTCTTGTGGATGTTTGCTTGCAATAAGACAAAAACAGTTGTACAAAGGTAATTTCATAATCTGGATGTGCAGTTCATATACAGCATTCCACAGTTACCTTTACCAAGGTAAAGGTAAAGGTACCCCTGACCATTAGGTCCAGTTGCGGACGACTCTGGGGTTGCGCCACTCATCTCGCTTTACTGGCCAAGGGAGCCGGTGTTTGTCCACAGACAGCTTCTGGGTCATGTGCCAGCATGACTAAGCCGCTTCTGGGGAACCAGAGAAGCGCACGGAAACACCGTCTACCTTCCCGCCGGAGCGGTATCTATTTATCTACTTGTACTTTGACGTGCTTTCAAACTGCTAGGTTGGCAGGAGCAGGGACCAATCAATGGGAACTCACCCTGTCACGGGGATTCGAACCGCCGACCTTCTGATCAGCAAGCCGAAGAGACTCAGTTGTTTAGACCACAGCGCCACCCATGTGGTACTGGTCCACAATTTGGCCAATAAAAGGTGTCACCTTATTGCCTGTGAAGAGAGATGAGGAACTGGTGGGCCTCCAGATGTTGAACTCCACAAGATGGAATTTCTAGTGCAGTAGCATCTAGAGGGCCATGGTTTCATTTGACATTTACCTTTGAGCCTGTGGACATAAAGGGATGCAAATCAAAGTTGATCTGTGTCAGAGTGACCAGCCATGTGTACCTTTGAATAGTACTATCTTAAAGAGAATGTTGGCGGGTATAGCATCTCCAACAGGGATGAGAAAAGCTCCACCAGCACCTTTATTAAACTTATTGTGGAGTTCTGTGTGGTTGTCTTCACCTATCTTTGTATCCTAACTATGTCTACTGAGAGGGAAACTGTTTTGAAGACTGAAGTGTTTTACTTCAGTAGCCACAATGACTTAATTTAATCTCATCTGCCTCTTTGTGAAGAAATACAAATAATTTTTGCTTGATGCCATAGGTGTTGCTGTGGGCGCCTAATAGGTCAACATGTGGGACTTACTCCAAGCATCTCCATTATTCAGAATGAGAAGAATGAAAGTCGGCTTGCTCGAAATGACATCCAGTCAGAGAAGTGGTCAATCAGCAAGCACACTCAGCTCAGTCCCACCGATGCTTTTGGAACCATTGAGTTCCAAGGTGGAGGTCACTCGAATAAAGCCATGGTAACTAAAACCCTCATAATTTGGACCAGAACGTGGTCCTTACTTCATAAGTTCCTTACTTCGTGTTTGCTTTTATTTCTGTGTGTGTGTATCTTGGGTGCACATTCTAGGGAATGGTGCAGATTATTCCGCCATGAACATTAGCATCATTGATGCATTACAGAGTTGCATCAGTAATATGGGCAAATTCATGCTTCCAAGGAGCCTTGCAACCTAAAAGGTAGCCAGTGGGGGAAATAGCAGTGGGGAAGAGGGAGAAACATGGGTGTGTGGGAAATGTGGCCAAGAACCACAGCTCAGTCACAAAACAGATGCTGTACATGCAAAGGATTCCAGGTTCAATCCTTAACATGTTCACGTAGGGCAGGGGAAGACTGCTCTGGATCCACAGCCAATCAGGATCGACAATACTGATCTAGCTGAACCAATAGTCTACCTCAGTAAATGTTTTTCCAAGCATGGTTGCAGTTAGGCATGGGGCTTAAGTGTAATTATATTGGAATACAATAAAATCAAAAGGACTAGCTTTCATTTTCAGCAGTGTTTCCATGTTTCTGGCCTCCGTCTCTAGGAAAGCTTCTACCTTGTTCTTTCCTAAAATTGTAAGGCAAGTTCTAATACAATACAAAAGACTCTGCTCAGTTTTACAGTGAGCTCATGTTCAATAGGAAGATGTTTCACATTGTTGGCAAACAGTAGTTTTTGGAGATAAATGTGAGCCTGACGGCTTTGAATAAAGTGACCCCAGAGGACTAGATACTGTTGCGAAATAAAATAAAAGTTTTATCAGTTTTGCTGATGGGTGAGCAGCAGATCAACTCCCACTGCTTTCTGCAGTAGGAAAAATGTAACAGAAATGTATTGTTTATTAAAATTGTTCTTCTTTAATATAGAATAACCAAATTCTATCTGCAGTGTAGTGTGTCACATTTATTAAATGAGGGAATGCTTATTGTCAGACTTCCAAGGAAAACATCAGGCACTGTCAGATACTGATGTAACTTTAAAACACAATGCAAACCTCCATGTGTGGTTTTATAATTTTTCAGTTTATCTCCATAAAAGTAATTTGTTCACTTCACAGAAAGAAGATACCGTATTTTTCGCCCTGTAGGACGCACTTTTCCCCCTCCAAAAAGGAAGGGGAAATGTGTGTGCGTCCTATAGAGCGAATGCAGGCTTTTGCTGAAGCCTGGAGAGTGAGAGGGGTTGGTGCGCACCGACCCCTCTCGCTCTCCAGGCTTCAGGAAACTCTGTGCAAGCCGCGGGAGCCCTCTCCCGGCTTGCGCAGAGCCGCCTCTTATCCCGAAGCCCCGGCGCACTGGGCAGTCGCGCCGTGGCTTCGGGTAGCTCCGCGCAAGCCGTGGGAGGGCTCCCCCGGCTTGCGCAGAGCCGCCTCTTATCCCGAAGCCCCGACGCGATCAGCAGTCGCGCCGGGGCTTCGGGTAGCTATGCGCAAGCCGCGGGAGGGCTCCCACGGCTTGCACAGAGTAGCCTGTTCTGGGGGCTGGGGTCGGGGGAAGCTCGGGCTTCCCCCGCCCCAGCCCCGCGCCTGGGGGGGAAATAATTTTTTTTTCTTTATTTCCCCCCCAAAAAAAACTAGGTGCGCCTTATGGGCCGGTGCGTCCTATGGGGCGCAAAATACGGTACTTTGCTCTTTGCTTCATGTTCACTTGAAATTTATTTCTATTGATTATCTTACTAATTTCCCACTCAACATGATAGCTTTACTGAATGCTGGCCACATGACCTGGTAGCATTTGCCTGGTCAGTATTTTTATGGTTAAACTGCAAGCTTCTCTTCAAATTTCCTTGACATTAATGCTGTCTACAATGCTGTGTAGAATAACTGCTAATTGGCAAAAGTAATGAGCCCCATAAAGAGGCATTCAGGAAGTTCATGCCAGCTACCTACAAATTGACACATATAGAGTTTGACTGACATAGATTAGGAAATGGCATTACTACTTTTTTCATTCCAATAGTTATAAAATTTTATTTGAAGCTTAAAAAGCCAAATTCCTCAAACCCAGAAACTTGTCTTTCAACAACACAAAATCACATGGCAACCCTTCATTCCTCACCGAAGCTTGTTAACCTTGATGACACCATGTCAAGGTCCCTCACTGCCCTCGGCTTTTAACTGCAGTGCTGCAGGCATGAAGAGAAACAGTTGGGCAGGCCTGGTACTTGCTCCTCTAGCAAACATTGAATAAACTCTTTCTACAATCTAATACTTTCTGACAGCTACCATGTTTGAGAAAATCATTATTAGAGCTAGACATTGTGCACTGAACTTGCTCATCCATTTCAATATAATTTAGTAAACTTGAGGCCACAACACTCCATTTATTCTTCTTGTCCTGTAAGCGGTATCGTTAATGGTGTTGCTGGTTCATCATCTTCAAAAATAATGTGCCACAATTGTGAATTTCCATATAAGTCAAGCCATATCCATTCTGCTTCATCAGTCCACTGTAAACTACAGTTCAGTTTTTCCAGTGAAGAAGAAAGAAGCCACTTTCAAATTCTTACCCTGTTTGATCCTTCACAATATTATGAGATAGAAGAGATTGAGAGTGGTTGCATTTGGAGGTAACAGCAGACTCTTCCCTCTCTCCAGTTCCCCTTTGTTCTAAGCCAGGCATGTCCAAGAGGTAGATTGTGATCTACCGGTAGATCACTGAACGTCTGTGGTAGATCACTGGCTCCCCCCAAAGAAGCTCAACCAGTTTGGCTCCCCTAAAAAAAGCTGAACAACTTTGGCCTGAGCCACCCCCCAAAATGGTGCTTACTTCCTTTCCCCAAAAGCTCAACAACTTAGACCTGAACCCCTAAAAAGGGGGTAGATCACTGCCAGTTTTTAACTCTGTGAGTAGATCACAGTCTCATGGGAGTTGGCCACCCCTGTTCTAAGCCATTTGTTCTAAGCCATCAGATAAAAATGAAAGTGAAACCTCTTTGTGGCCATGTTAGAGGGAAAGAGTGGAGAATGAGAAGCTGAGATTTGCCTTGGCACATCCACATAGTTTATGGTTTCCTCTGAATGCAGCCAGTGACTTGCTCAAAGCAACTTGGCACAGAGACTCCCATGCTATATGAGTTGTAAACTCTCCTGAGTTCATTAGCAAGTTGCTCCATGACTACTGTAGAGTGAGCTGAGCTGAGTAAGTTTTGCCATTTTTTAGATCAGTCTGATAACAACATGTGGGCACATCACACTCTCTGACACAGGCTCATGCTTGGCACCTCTCTCTCTCTCTCTCTCTCTCTCACACACACACACACACACACACACACGAGAGAGAGAGAGAGAGAGAGAGAGAGAGGACCACACGTCTCTCTTCCCCCCTCTCTTAACACACTTTATCTCCCTCTCACAGTCTACACAAACATACATATGTTTTCCTCCTCTCTCTCAGTTTTGGCTCATGTCTCAGGTTTTAAAAAAATACTAGAAGTGTACATGAAAAAGAAAGAAAAGGGAAAAAAGGAATCCAGGAATCTGTAGATTTTGGTTCACCCTGGGGGCACCTAAGAAGGCCTTTGCAGACAGCAGGTCTGCCAACCCCTGGAAAAAGCAACTAAGCAAAATCATCCCAGTACGTTTCCGAGCACAATTCAAAGTGTTGGTGCTGACCTTTAAAGCCCTAAACGGCCTCGGTCCAGTATACCTGAAGGAGCGTCTCCACCCCCATCATTCTGCCCGGACGCTGAGGTCCAGCGCCGAGGGCCTTCTGGCGGTTCCCTCATTGCGAGAAGCAAAGCTACAGGGAACCAGGCAGAGGGCCCTTCTCGGTAGTGGCGCCCGCCCTGTGGAACGCCCTTCCAGCAGATGTCAAAGTGATAAATAAACTACCTGACATTTCAAGAGACATCTTAAGGCAGCCCTGTTCAGGAAGTTTTTAACATGTGATCTTTCATTGTATTTTTGGTTTTTATGGAAGCCGCCCAGAGTGGCTGGGGAGGCCCAGCCAGATGGGCGGGGTATAAATAATAAATTATTATTATTATTATTATTATTATCTTACTCTCTTGAGTTTGTATTTTTCATTTTATTTGGTTAAGTAGCACTTCTCTTCAAACTATATGTTAACAGATGGATTTTCAACTTCTGAGATCTGGTTCTGTATTAACTTCCACATAAATTCCATTGTACAGAAGTTCAGCAAAAGCCTAATGAATTATTCCCATGTCTTTTTAATTCATGGAATGATGATGCATCTCTGTCTTTTGGCTAAGATCAAGTGTAAATATTCCAGCTGCATGTCTATTACCAGCTTCTCGTCTTCACTCTTTGCTTTTGTTTCAAATCAATGCCCTTCCTTCTGTAGTATGTGCGTGTGTCTTTTGACACAAAGCCTGATCTTCTTCTACACTTGATGACCAAGGAATGGCAGCTTGAACTTCCCAAACTTCTCATCTCTGTGCATGGAGGTCTCCAGAATTTTGAACTTCAGCCAAAGCTCAAGCAAGTCTTTGGGAAAGGTCTCATTAAAGCTGCCATGACAACTGGAGCATGGATATTTACTGGAGGAGTAAACACAGGTAACAATAACCTGGCAGAATGAAATCCCTGAAGCAGATGGAATTCTTTCTATGGCATAAAAAGCTTTTTCATGGTCACAGGATCCTGAAAAAATCCTGTCATTGCATTAAATGAAGCAGACAGCATTATGTTCATTTAATGCATTTCTATCTAGACATCATTCAAACTAAATGTGGCATTAAATACATGGTTTGCATTTAATATATATGTTTTTAAAAGTGCAAATTTTCTTAGCAGGATCTAGATAGGGATAGGACTTTAACCCTTTCCCCAATCCTGAAAAAAATCCCACCTCACTACCAATTGCATTGGGAGGAAAGCTGCTATTAGAAAAACCCACATCCAGCAAGCCAAGTCAAACCTTCGCTGCAGATTGTAGTTTATTAGAGCAAAGCAAACTGTAATCACTGTTTCAGACCTAACTCCAAGCCACAGATTGTGGTTTGTTTCTTCCCTGGGCTGGTGGAGAGCAGCAAAGCATGTGAGATCAGCACATCCACCATAAGCCATTAATAATGGTTTACCATCATGCCCAAACTGGGCCATAATTTCGTTTCCCCCTCTTCAGTCACATCTTTTCTCTAAGCCAAGGCTGTGTAGATAATTTACCTATAAAGCAGATTTGAAGCATGTTTTCCCCCTCAAAGAATTCTGGGCACTGTTGTTTGTTAAGGGTTGCTATGAATTGTAACTCTGTGAAGGTGCCCAGAATTCTTTGAGGGAAACAATATGTGCTTTAAAGGTATAGTCTCTGTACCCAGCAATTTTTTTGTGAAGGCAAATGAGCAGTGGAAGACATATACAAGCTTGCAGTTCCTCTGTTTTCTCCAGAGCTTCTGCATGCATGGCACAGTGGGTGACTTTCTCCCTTTTAATTTTCAATACTTATTCCAGTTACATAATTTGTTTGTAAGACTCAGTATTTGAGATTTTCTATCACAATTTTTTAAACGTATAGAATCACAGAATTCCTAACATTTTAGAATGGTAAAGTTATGCCTATTTACTGCTACTTACATAAATGTTTTGTTTTTACTGGGGGATTATTTTGATATTTTGCCATAATCCATACATGGTGTTAGAACTACATCCGCACATACATGTTACAAAGGTTAGTAATATTTATCCTCTATCATGTACTTGCCTTGCTTTTCTCTTACAGGAGTTATTCGGCATGTTGGGGATGCACTGAAAGACCATGCCTCCAAGTCAAGAGGGAAGATCTGCACTATTGGAATAGCTCCCTGGGGAATTGTAGAAAATCAAGAGGATCTGATTGGCAAGGATGTAAGTCTCTAGATCTCTTGCAGTGCATTGCTTTGCCAATATGTCCTTGAAGTTTGGGTTTTTCAGATCTTTTGGGCAGGGCAGAAGTTGTGGGTGTGTCCTCTGTGTAATGTGCCCCTGCTCTCTAGGAAATTGTCAAGGTGGCAGACCTGAAAAGCAGAGAGAGGCACGGAGGTTGGTAGATGAGCTGTGCCTTGCTCCCAGGTTGGTAGCTGCCCTGCTGTCATGGAGAATGAGGGTCTCAGGAAAGGAGGATGTCACTCTGAGGAAGAGGGAAATGATCATTTAGAAAGGACCTATTCCTTGAAGGACATATAGCTATCCTCTTATGCCATTGCTACTACCTAACATTGCTATGCAAACAGTCAAGGTTTTCTCCAAAATATTCTGGGAGCTTTCATTTGTTAATGAGCCAACAGTGTGACGCGGCAGCTAAAAAAGCCAATGCAATTCTGGGCTGCATCAATAGGAGTATAGCATCTAGATCAAGGGAAGTAATAGTGCCACTGTATTCTGCTCTGGTCAGACCTCACCTGGAGTACTGTGTCCAGTTCTGGGCACCACAGTTCAAGAAGGACACTGACAAACTGGAACGTGTCCAGAGGAGGGCAACCAAAATGGTCAAAGGCCTGGAAACGATGCCTTATGAGGAACGGCTAAGGGAGCTGGGCATGTTTAGCCTGGAGAAGAGGAGGTTAAGGGGTGATATGATAGCCATGTTCAAATATATAAAAGGATGTCACATAGAGGAGGGAGAAAGGCTGTTTTCTGCTGCTCCAGAGAAGCGGACACGGAGCAATGGATCCAAACTACAAGAAAGAAGATTCCACCTAAACATTAGGAAGAACTTCCTGACAGTAAGAGCTGTTCGACAGTGGAATTTGTTGCCAAGGAGTGTGGTGGAGTCTCCTTCTTTGGAGGTCTTTAAGCAGAGGCTTGACAACCATATGTCAGGAGTGCTCTGATGGTGTTTCCTGCTTGGCAGGGGGTTGGACTCGATGGCCCTTGTGGTCTCTTCCAACTCTATGATTCTATGATTCTATTCTATGAAGGGATGCTGAAAGTGGTTAGGAGACCCCTACTCCCTTCAATAGCTACCAAGCTACAATTTCCAGAGTGGTTTAACAGTTCATTAGATGTTAATAGACAGTCCCTCTTCACAGGGAACTCTTGAGATCTGGAGGACCATGAGGGGAATAAGGGCCTCCTAACAACTCTCAGCACCCTGAAGAAACTACAGTTTCCAGAATTCTTTGGGGAAAGCTATGAATATTTAAGGTGGTATCATGGTGCTTTAAATGTCTGGTGTGAATGTGGCCCAAGTCTAAAGCTCCAGCCACTACACTACTCACCATGCAAATGTGAAAGTATGAAAACATGGAAAGTATGGATCCTAATTAAATAGGTATTTTGTTGCCAATGACGTTATGTGGATGCCGCAAACCACCTCCATGCATGAGCAGCAGCAATCACATAATCCACATCTGTCTGGACGTATCCTTACTCTTCTGAAGAAAATAATGGAGAATAATCATCTAAGATTGTCTCACCCACATTCACACACCTGCTGCCAATGTTTATGCTTTGCATTGATACCTGCAGTTGCTGCCTGCAAGCAAGGCTGAAAAAGAACTTTTCATTAGTTTCCTTGAAGCCACTCCGTTTCAGTTCTCTTACGGGTTTAACACAGAGATAGGCAACCTAAGGCCCAGGGGCCGGATGCGGCCCAATCGCCTTCTAATGGTCCAATCGCCTGCGGATGGTCCAGGAATCTGTGTGTTTTTACATGAGTAGAATGTGTGCTTTTATTTCAAATGCATCTCTGGGTTATTTGTGGGGCCTGCCTGGTGTTTTTACATGAGAAGAATGTGTGATTTTATTTAAAATGCATCTCTGGGTTATTTGTGGGGCATAGGAATTGGTTCATTTTTTCTCTCCAAAATATAGTCCGGCCCCCCACATGGTCTGAGGGATGGTGGACCGGCCCACGGCTGAAAAAGGTTGCTGACCCCTGGTTTAACAGCTAGGTCCTCTGCTTCTATGATGGAGAGGAAGAATAGTATATCTCTCCTTCAGGAAGAGTACTGCTTGATTAAATCAAGGCTATATCACCAAGGATGAAATTCAGTAACAGTATACTTGGAGCTTATACAAATAATTAGTTCTAACAGGTTCTGTAGGGATATGATATGAGGTAATTTTTGCTAGAAAATATTGCCAGACACCTGGCAGAGAAACATATAATTACTAGGAACAATGATTTATGCAGCAAAATCCAAAATTGTATTCTTTTCCTTCACTCTCTTGTCACAACCTGGGTACATTGTGAAGGCACATGTCCCACATGCTCTGTGTTCGTCAGTGGCTGAGTTTTATATATAATGGCTACTTACCAACCTTTGCTTATGACAGTTCAAGCAACTGGTTTTGTTATCTGTACACAGCTGGAGGCAAAAAGGGATGCAAAAAATTAGCACATGAATTGGACACACAGAAGGTGTGTGCAAGTATGCATGCATGAGAATGATATATTTTAAAGTTAAATATGTTTCTCTCTGTTTTATCCAGATTTGAATTGCTATTTTGTGTTATGTTTTGCTTAAATGTTGTGATGCTCTTGGACAGCGAGGGGAGAGAAACAGAAAGAAAGCCACAACTGTGTCGGCTCCTGTAGTCCACTATGGTGGTCCAATATGTTTTTGTTTGTTTTTTCCTTTTACTGTTATATTAAATTTGCTTAGTAACATAACATTATTGTATGTATTCTATGAAACAAAGAATACAAAACAAAATTCATTCATACTACAATGCATAACTACATAACATTAATATATATGGTTTCTGAAAAAAGGCTTACATAACAAAATCAATTCAAAATACCATCCGGTTTACTTTTTTCTTTCTTTCTTCCCCCTCCCTCCCCACTCCAGCCCTCCCCCCCCCAATCAGGCCTTCCTTCTTCATATCTTTATCCATGTACACAGTCTGTTCATTCAAGCTTGTATGTTAGGGTTGGCTTCCCCTCTTTCTATCCAGTTCCTGTAAAATGCCCATTTATTTGTGATTCTTTGGCATTTATTTTCCCATCTATCCTCTGCCAGTATCTGTGTGAATATTTCTGATTGTACGTATTCAAAAACATAATCATTCCATTTTTCCATATTCCATTTGGCCTTTTCTTTCCATCCCAGAGCAATAACTGTCATTCCAGCTAAAATCATAATCTTGTACAACTCTTGCTTATTACTTTTTACTTTGTTATTTCCCAATATTCCCGAAAATAACAAATCCCTATTAACTTCTATGTTTATTTGAAATAATCCAGAAATTACCTTTATAATCTTTTGCCAATATTCCTTAACCAGATTACATTCTGGTGGTCCAATATGGTTGAAGAACTAAGAAAATTGTGTCTCATGACTTGCCCTGGTCCATGGGGTCACGAAGATTCGGACACAACTAAACGACTAAACAACAACAACAACTTGCATGAATAGTCTGATTTAGGATCTTAAGCTGCTTTTACACCCACCCCACTTTGAGCTGCTCTTTCAGCAGTGTCTCCTCTTCAAATATTAGACATCTGTCAGTCAAAGTTCTTGCAACATGTTTGGGCACTGCTTTTAATGGCTGCAACAGTGATGCCTGCAAGTAAGTGATCTTTACTGCAAAGCTGCTCCCTGATCTTTCTCAGGTGACAGCTTCATAGTACCCACAAATGTAATCACAGGCCTTTGATGGTACAGCAGTGCCATGGTAAGAAATGGCAGAACAGTGACTCCCATGATGGTACTGTAACTTTTAAAGAGCACTTAAGAAGGCATAGTTCTGAAATCCCATGCATGCATGTTTGAGACTCAGTGGGTCTTACTCCTAAGTAGATACACATAGGATCAGCCTGCATGTTATATCTCAGGTAATTTTAATATGTGGTACGTTCGGTGCATGTACCCGTTGAAATCTAGTTTTTTACAACATCAGGTTTGAATGTGCTTTCAGACATAATTTTTGAAATCTATCTGGTACTATAAATGTCATCATTGTGATTCCTTTCCATTGTGGTTTTGAGTGTTGTCTGAGGATAATAGTTGGAAGCAATATTACCATTCAACTAGAAAGTGAAAACAATATGTGAGTTACAAGAAGCCATAGAAAAACAAGACTGGATCTGCTAGTAGCTATTTTTTTCCTGTAAACAACCATAATTAAAAAATCTTACTCAGCCTTCTTATGTTCTTGGAAGTAAAATATACTTCAGATTTGGGATGCTTCTGTTAGACTGATAAAACAGTTATCCAAATTGAACTTTGGTCCAACAATATTTATTACTACTACTACTAATAATAATAATAATACCCCACCCATCTGGCTGGGTTTCCCCAGCCACTCTGTGCGGCTCACAACAGAATATTAAAAATAGAATTGGGGAGGGGCCACTAGGGGCGCATCGGAAGATGGCTGACAATAACATCTCTCCGACCCACGGGAGGTAATTAGGAGGCTGTGATGGGAGTAAATAGCCTCCCTACCCCCCAAGGTTGGGGGGGCTGCCCTTGCCTGCTGTGTCCTATACCACCCCCGAATTTGTGGGGATGGGGGCACTAGGCAGAATGCCCTCCTGTGGATTTCGGTGCTCCTGGACGCTGTCTCTGATCTGCGCCGCTAGCTGCAAGAACTTCAAAAGGAACAATTAGGAAGAAGCGAGTGCACATATTTCAAGGAAGGAGGGGGAGTAAAGACTGCTAACTGAAGAGTTCTCTGATAAACAAGACGAGTCGGAGGAACAAGAATCAATCATGAGAAGATATGCCAAGACTCGGTATGGCAAAGGGACTGGATGGGGGAGGGGGGAAAAACTTTCCTTTCTTCCCTCTATGTGATTAAACAAGAAACCCCCCCCCACAAGTCAGAAATGCCGTTTTAATGACTTAAGCTGTGGATTTACGACTGTGGAGATAAACTTTCTAACCAAAGCATGTTTTAAGAAAGTGTGGAAAGTTTAAGAGCTTTGGAATGACGCAGTTAAAAATACCGTCGCCATGTTGGCAAGCTCTGTCGGAGGACTTGAGTCTGGGAGGAGGAAAAGAGCTGTTTTTATATTGTGGGTGAGACTCCTCAGTGGGACTTAAGAACGACAGATCCTGAGATTAATGATGGAAAGAGCGATGCTATTTATGAAAGTGATGATATATGGAAACCATCTCGATATGAGGATTGGACGAACGGAAAAATCCACACAGGTTATAATTGGTGTTTATCTGCTTAAGGAGATTATCAGAAGAGATCATAAAGAAAAAAAGAAAAAATATACGAACAAGATGAGATGTGGAAACAGCAAGATAAGACTGGATAGAATTATGAACTTTATTTGGACTGATTTGGATATGAACGCAGTAGCAAGAAGATGATCGGAATCCCCCTTCGAAACTTGAAATATGGGTCCCCTCAACAAAAATTTAAAATTCGGCTTTGTAATTTGGAATTTATTTGATTTGATTTGATTTGATTGGTCGGTTAATTAAAAATATTTTTTTTAAAAAAAGAATATTAAAAATAGAATCAAACATTAAAAAGTTCCTTAAACAGGGCTGCCTTCAGATGTCTTCTAAAAGTCAGATAGTTTTTTATTTCCTTGACATCTGATCGGAGGGCAGGTGCCTCTACTTAGAAGGCCGTCTGCCTGGTTCCCTGTAACTTCACTTCTCACAGTGAGGGAACTGCCAGAAGGCCCTCGGCGCTGGACCTCAGTATCCAGGCAGAACAATTGGGGTGGAGACGCTCCTTCTGGGCCGAGGCCATTTAGGGCTTTAAAGGTCAGCATTATCACTTTGAATTGTGCTTGGAAACGTCCTGGGAGCCAATGTAGGTCTTTCAGGACCGGTGTTATGTGGTCTCAGTGGCCACTCCTAGTCACCAGACCTGCACCTCCATGGACAGCTGTGAGTCCAAAATGACTCCCAGACTGCGCACCTTATCCTTCAGAGGCACAGTTACGCCGTTCAGGACCAGGGAGTCCTCCACGCCTGCCCACCCCCTGTCCCCCAGAAACAGTACTTCTGCCTTGTCAGGATTCAACCTAAATCTGTTAGCCGCCATCCATCCTCCAACTGCCCCCAGACACTCACACAGGACCTTTACTGCCTTCACTGGTTCTGATTTAAAAGAGCTGTGTATCATCCGCATACTGATGAACACCCAGCCCAAACCCCCTGGTGATCTCTCCAAGCGGCTAAATATCGGTGTTAAAAAGCATGGGGAAGAGGATGGAACCCTGAGGCACCCCACAAGTGAAAGTCAAGGGGTCTGAACACTCACCCCCCAACACCACTTTCTGAACACGGCCCAGGAGGAAGGAGCAGAACCACTGTATAACAGTGCCCCCAGCTCCCAGCCCCTCTAGACCAGGGGTCAGCAACCTTTTTCAGCCATGGGCCAGTCCGCCATCCCTCAGGCCATGTGGTGGGCTGGACTATATTTTGGAAAAAAAGAAGAAAAAAGAACGAATTCCTATGCCCCACAAATAACCCAGAGATGCATTTTAAATAAAAGAACACATTCTACTCATGTAAAAACACGCTGATTCCTGGACCGTCCACAGGCTGGATTGAGAAGGCAATTGGGGCACATCTGGCCCCCAGGCCTTAGGTTGCCTACCCCTGCTCCAGATGGATGTTGTGGTTAATGGTATCAAAGGCCACGGAAAGATCCAGCAGAACTAGGAAACAACTTTCACCTTTGTCCCTTGCCCGCCAGAGATCATCGACCAGTGCAACCAAAGCAGTTTCAGTCCCATGATGAGGCCTAAATCCCGACTGGAAGGGATCCAAATGGTCCACATCCTCCAGGCATGCCTGGAGTTGTTCAGCAACCACTCGCTCAATCACCTTGCCCAAGAATGGAAGATTTGAGACTGGGCGATAGTTTGCTATATTGGCTGGGTCTAAAGATTTTTTTTTAAGAAGCGGTTTAATAACAGAGAGAAGCATTCACCACCCCACGAAGCCCATCGCCCAGCCCTTCCCAGCTCACTTTTATGAGCCAGGATGGGCAAGGATCAAGGAGACAGGTGGTCGGTTTCACTCGTCCAAGCAGCCTGTCCACATCCTCGGAGGTAACAGATTGGAATTGATCCCACGCAGCTTGACTAGACCAGGAATCTGGCACTCTTCCGCCCCAGCCCTGCTCCCACGGTTGCGTCTATCTCTTTTCAAATCTCAGCAACTTTATCTGCAAAAAAAACTTTGCAAAATCATTGCAGAACATCTTGGGACCCTTACCGTACCCTGATGGCACTGCTGAAGGTGAAGCTGAAGGTGAAGAAAGTCGTATTTGCCATCACTATCGCCACTTGGTAGGCTCAACGTTGAGCTCTAACCTGTGTCTGGTCCCATTCAGAGTGAGTTTTCCGCCACTGGCGCTCTAGCCATCTCAGCTATTGTTTCCTTGCCCTCAGCCCTGGAGAAAACCACAGGGCTGTCCAGGCTCCATGTAATTGGAGAGGGCGCTTCGGAGCCAGACAGTCCATAGCCCTGGTTAACTCCACATTCCAGCGGGCCACCAGGGATGCAGCTGAAAGGCCATCAACATGGGATAAAACATCCCCTACCACTCTCTGGAAACCATTTGGATGCATTAAGTGGTGGGGGCGGACCATCCATATTCGTCCCACCTCCCTGCAGAGGGGACGGGTCACGGAGAAGTCCAATTGCACAAAGAAGTGTTCCAACCATGACACTTCTTTTGTTTCACTTTTACTTAGTGTCAAATCATCCACATCCATAGAGGTGAACACCAGGTCTAAGGTATGTCCGTGACTATGAGTTGGTATTCAGGTATTCAGGGACACCCCCACTGAGGCCATGTTTTCCATGAAGTCTCAAGCGGCCCCTTGTAAGGTCGTGTCGGCGTGGATGTTAAAATCCCCCAGGGCAACCAAACTAGGTGTCTCCAGGAGAACATCTGTCATGACCTGAAGCAGCTCAGGCAGGGAATCCAAGGTGCAGTGGTGGGGTTGGTATACCAAAAGGAATCCTGTACTGCCCCTATTGCCCAACTTCCAGAACATGCACTCAGAGAACTGGGTCTTCCCAGTAGGACGCCTGGTGCAAATTAATGACTTCCTAAAAATCACTACAACCCCCCCTCCCCGCCCACATGACCTGGGTTGCTGTGTGTAAGAGAAACCTGGTGGACAAGCAGCGGCAAGAAAAGACCCATCTGCTTCCTCCAACCAAGTCTCTGTCACACATGCCCGGTCAAGTCCTCCATCCACGTTCAAGTCATGGATGGCAGTGGTCTTACGAATCATTGACCTGGCATCGCACAGCAGCACCTTCAGGTCATGTGGGTCTCCCTTGCTGATTCCAGTATCCATCTGATGAAGACCAGACCCGGAAGCAGGGATAGTCCTCAATACTGAACATGTAGGAGCTAATGTGGTAAAAGGAAAAGAAATAATCTCACTGTGTTTCTCATAATTGAAGTGCAACAGTTATTAGGGCAACATTATGAACTAAGGCAAGCAATTCGGAGAGTAGCAGTTAGTAAGAGGGGCACTGACCACAAGACTCAGTTTGAACCCCTTCTTGAGCAGTTTGGAAAACACCTTGCCTTGATCTGACGTAGGGAGGGATAGATATGTCTTTTTCTAGTCTGTGTCCATTTCACATGTGTTTATTCATAAGTTCATTCCATAATTAAATATAATATTACTGCAGGTCAACAAATGAATAATGGAAGTGCTGATATTTCTAACATGATATGTCAGCGTAGCAGTGGATCTCATATGTACAGGTCCAAATTTCCAAATGTCTTTAAAAACTCTTTTTATGGTGAGAAAACAAATATTCATATATTGAATTTTGCAAGTACTGGCAAAAATTGTTTCAGCAACTTGTTACCAGCGAATTACCTCTAGAACATCCTTTATCAGGAATTTCAAACCATGGTTGCATTCTCTGCTTTCCCCCCCTCTGATATACAGGTGGTACGGCCATACCAAACAATGTCCAATCCAATGAGTAAGCTGACGGTACTCAACAGTATGCACTCTCACTTTATACTGGCTGATAATGGGACCACAGGAAAATATGGTGCGGAAGTGAAACTTCGCAGACAGTTGGAAAAGCACATCTCACTCCAGAAGATAAATACAAGTAAGCAGCCTGCTTTCTACATTGTTCTATAACTGTGCACTGGGATATATCTGTTCATCATCATCAGGCCTCAGTAAAGAGTTTCATTAGGATCAGGCCACTATATTGTACAGGCAGGTTCACAATCAAAATTCTAAATGACAATCCAAAGAGCCAAGGGAAAGTTTAGCAGATGATAGGGTGGGGAAGGTGATTGTGCTGTGCGTATCTAAAAGCTAGAAGCATCTTGGCAGGAGAAGATTGGCAAGCAATGGTAAACAACTGAAAAACAAGGCAGAATGTGACAATGCCCAGGATCCAAAAAGACTATGGAAATGATCAAGCTGTTCTTTTCCAGCTTCAGGTCACTTTGTGAAGTACCCAGATTTAGGAATCTACTTGTCATGAGGTCAAAAGACAGGCCTCACCAGTGAAGGCATCCTTCCATGCCTTCTGCTTGCTGGCTGGTGCTCTCTTTCAGGCAGCCATACTTCCAAGGAAAAGGAAAGGCAGGAGTGTGCCTTGTTACTGCTGTATCGGTGTCGTCTTTGAATGGTCTGGGGAAGCCAGGTCACTCTTTCCCTTGGCTAGGAATGTTAGATAGCCCACTAGGCCCTTTCATTCACCCACCCCACCCACCCTGTAAGTCTTGCTGTCACCTGTTCCGTCAGCAAGAATTAATGTTTGTTTCCCACCAATAATATATAAAATAAGAACTGTTGGACTTTCAGGACTTGACCCAGTTTCAGCTGAGCCAGGATGGAGGACTTGCCCTGCTGGTGGCCATCTGCCATGCATGCTTTAGCTGTGATGCTTTAGCGTTGCAGGGGTTGGACTAGATGACCCTTGGGTCCCTTCCAACTCTAAGATTCTATGAGAGACTTCAGCCAGTAAAGCTCAGCCAGAGATCCATCTTCTCGAAACTCCACTCCTTCCAGCAAGCCTTGAGTTTGGTTTGCCCACAAACTCATGCTGGGTTTAAAGGGAATTGGGCCTTTTATACCCCATATAAAGTTTTCGGAGTGGTTTACAAATAGACAAGAAAAGACAGTTCAAATAAACAATTAAACATAAAACTATAAATCAAAAACTTACATAAATACAACAGAAACTAAAGTCACTCCAAAGTTAAGCACACATTTAAAAACTAAGATGCTCTGGCTACATAAGCTTCCAGTTATAGTGGCTGCAGTCTGCCTCTTCTAGTTTTTGCAAAATACTTCTCACTATCTCAGAACTGCTTCTTAACCCTATGGTTGCCACAGTACTCCAAAGAGGTAGTTCCTACGGGTGACAGGAGTTCTTTCCTGACTCCCCTTCCCTTCCCTGATTAGACCAGGAGATAAATTGTGTTCTCTTGTGGTTGTTGGGCAAATAGAACACTGGGGGCTTTGGGGGGACAGTACTCAGCAGTATAGAGTACAGATGCCTCTTTTTTTGCTGCCCATGAAACCCATTTCATGCTGGCACTGCACATGTATCAAGAAATGAATACCAGCACCTCATTTATTTCTCAAAAGGGGAACACACTTCTGTTTAGTTTTGCTGTCATGTATTTTCTTGTGGCTCTTAAAAGCTACTGGGAGCTGAAGTGATCCTCCTTTTTTCTTTTCTCCTGCCTGTTGTAAAAGATGGGATAAGGAAAGAAAACAACCAGTAGTGTCATCCAGGTTTACTTTATTTGATAATCATGGGAGAAATGAAATGGTAATATTCTCCAGCTTCCACTTCCTCACCCACAGGGGCAATAGAGCAACTTTGGGGCCTGTCATGCAGTAAAGTGTTTCATCTGTGACCTACAGGAATCACCTGCATTTTTGTATTACTTTGTATTATTATGATGATGTGACAGTTTATAATGTAGGGCGCTTCTTCTATGTACCTTTCACTTCTCTTCCTGCCTCTGATAATCTCAGCTATTGTCTTTGAAAACTCTGATAAACTAGATTATTGTCTGAAATCTCACACTACACTAAACCAGTTAGTTTCCCAAGTGTGAGGTATTCTTTTTGCTGCCAACGGTCTGAACTGGCTTTTCATGATACTGCCTGCTCCAGTGCCATTTTCATATTGCCAAAGGCACTGAGAGGGATTTAATGGCCAGGTGTGCCACATCAGACAAAATTATGTCACCTCTCCCACCATCACTTGCTGCTACCTCTATATTGATTTTTGTGTGTAAATTTGTCTACTGTGGTCTCAATGTGGGTGGAATCTCTGCCATTTCAGTATTTCCTCCCAATGTTAGAGAGCAGATATTGCTTGATTGGGTGAAAATACTTTAGATCTTGACATGGGACATTTGGAAGATGTACAGCTGGGGAGCCACTGCTAAGAGTGAATGTGACACTTCTGCACATTGCGTTCTGGCATGTACTATATTCAGTACTTTTGAAAATTGGAATGAATCCACTTTGTTTCCTAGAGTATGACACTGCTGATTCATTACTCTTTTCTCATTTCTGAATAGGCTTGGCTGAATTTACATTCCTCATATTGCACTTATTCTTGAAAGATGATAGAATATATACTTGCAGTATGTAATATTATCTTAGCTTGATATGCCTGATTTCACAGACTATTTCACAGCCAAATAAATGTATTATTTATTCCATCTATAGAGAATTCCATCTATAGAGAATTCCATGCTAAAACTAAACCAGCCATGGTGCCTTTATTACTAAAGTTGTCTGGTCTTGACTATTGACCTTCAAAATGATGTGTTACGCCACTCAAATACTCTCTGTAATGGGCTTTCTGAAGTGAGACGTTCTAATATCTACTTTGCTTACAATGCATAACATGTTAAAACATTGCTCTTGTGCTGAGAAAATATTCAAGCAAGCAAGAAAAAAACATTTGACTGGATCTCTGTCCCCTTTGAGTAGATCAGGGAAATTTATTTTTGTGTCAGAGGTGGAGGGATCATCATTTGCATTCTCAGCCACGGTGTGAGCTTCAGACCAGAGATAAGGTAATGTGAGACTGCAAACTGTAGGCACAATGGTTCTGCCGCCACTGTTGGAGCCAGGAGGCCTCTGAATGCCACTTAGTTGGGAGAGTGCTATTGCATCCACCTTCTGCCTGCAGGCTTCCCATGGGCATCTAGTTGACTGCTGTGAGAACAGGATGCTGGGCTAGGTGGGTCTTTGGCTTGATCCAGCAGGACAGTTTCATGTTCTCATGTTCTATCCTGGTAAGGCTCAGAAAAAAGTACCTGCAGCAATCACTGCACCCCACAGGATGGGGACCAGGCTGAGTGGCTGCAGAAACTTGGCTAGGAACTACTTAGTCCTTTGATGAATCGTGGCCTTTCCTGTGTTTGGGAATCTGAAAATAAGACGTGGGTGAGAGCAAGTCAGTGCATTTTGCTTATAGGACTGTAGCCGGTGTTTTCTGTTTGGTAGCACAAAGACTATTGTGCTAGTGGACAGGTGGGTTTTAATGCTGCACAACAGGAATCCAGTGCAACTGTTATGCTTGCAGAAACTCACTGTAAAACAGATTGTGCAATCTATTGTGTAACAAAGTCACCAGCAGCCTGCTTATGCATTTTTTTTGCACAACAGAGTTCTGCTGATGTATACCACTAAGTGACTTTAACATAGTGCTACATTGGATACATACAACCCATAGTCTCCCCCCCCCAATTATCAGCTGGTTGAATACTTGTTACTTTCTCACCTAAATCTAATTAATATTTGTCACTATGTCAAATTTGCTTGAGAATTTCCACTGAACCACTCTGGGCACACAGAAAGTAGCAGTGTTGAGCAAGGTGGTCTTATTGGGAGATCAGAAGAGCTTTGCAAGTTGCATCTAAGATGAGCTGAGTGTCAGGGTGGGTGAGAGAACAGAATCCTTAAATCTGAAATCTTGTGTAGATCATCCTGTTCCTAATAAAAAACAATACATAAACTATATAGTTTGTAATAATATCACAGTATCATACACGTTCATGTTATTTTGCAAAGTGTTATTTTGAACTTATAACTAGATAATTCCTTCCAGGGACAAATTCTGTGTGGTGAACTTGCTTGCTAGTCACATTTCCTTTTAATTGTGAACACTGTTCCTAAATCAGAATCATAGGCTACAGACGTTATCGTTTGACTTTCTTTAGAACCAGCGATCCAGAGACCTGACTAAATAACTTCGTTGTGTCTGGGTTTTGCATCTGTTTCCGAAGTAAGCTTGGAATGAACTAATCTTGTTTAAATATAAAATCAGTAAGGGATGTTTGTTTGCTGCTGATCTTTTATCAAGTTTTTGCTTGATGATCACTGTCAGTTAAAAGTAACTGATTTTTTTATTATTATTGTAAAAGCAAGGAAATTCTACAAATTAGGAAGTATCTGCATGAAAATATGAACACTATTCTGCTCTATTAGCAAATGCATTTCTTACATTTGAGGGCCTTTCTCCCCAATTTGATTTTTACATGGATCATTTTATTCCTTTTGTATGAGTCTTTGGAGTAGGCTGCCCAGGGACTCCTGAGCTGTTTAGCTGACCTGGGTGAATTTTGCATGTGTGTGTATTGGGTGTGCACACCCATCCGCTTCATGTATTATCATACTCTCTGCAAATGGCACGTGGTGATAATGTGTGACCAGAGTACAGAGTTTTAAATATTTGTCATTTCTTTATTACAACTCTGTCAATGAAGATCAAAATGCTCTCAGCTGTGTCCCCTGGAATGCAGGAGATATCACCTAGCCAACAAGGTAGATCTTTCCAAATGATGTGCATTGTATTCCCCCCCCCCGACTTTTGCATAGCTGAGTCAGTAGTTTCTTGGAATGCTGGCTCCCCACTTTGCCTCTATAGTTTGGTGAGCCCTGCAAATGGATTCCCAGTAATTCCCACTTCTGGGCCATGGCTGAGGAATCCCCTTTGAGCTTGGTTAGGAGCATGGTTAGCCCCCACAGACTGGTGCCCCCTTTTAAGAGAATGGGGAAGGCACATCACTCTACTTTGGGGGTGCTATTTTGATGAAAATGTTGTGCTCTGGGGTGGCC